GGAAGGAGTTTGGGAGCAGCCACCACCGAAAAGGCCCTGTTTCGTGTGTCTACCAAATAGCTAGCGATCTTGTGCACCGAGTGATTTTATTTTTGGAAAGAAAATGCTTCCATTCTGAGACTGCCCAAGTATGCTGTGAGCTTCCATGCCCTGAGCACACACCTTTCTCTCAGCTTTCCTGCTTATGGGTGCTCGGCAATGCTGGCGGGGAGCTGTATCCTCCGCCCCACAGCTGCTGGAGCCTGAGGAGCGCCTTGAGGTAAAAAGGCAAGCGGTGACTCCTCGGCTACACACACAACAGATGCAGCCATCTGTGCACAGGCAGCGTTGTGTCATCAAGCACAACGCACACTCCTAGCAAGAATGGCCCAGCTGGAATTTTCTGTCTGCCTCTGCTGCATTCGTTTCTGGCAACTACCCTAGATGGGGACTGTGAAATTCCGACTATTCTGTCTGCACTATGCATCCAAAAGAGCACCATACCAATTTAAACAGCTGTGGCTTGCCCCAAAGAATTCTGGGAGCTGTAGTCTGTCAACAGTGCTGAGAATTATTAGGAAGGCCTTTACAGAGTTCTCTGGGAAGAGGGATTATCTGTTTGCTTCTCATTGCGAGAAGCAAAGCTACAGGGAACCAGGCAGAGGGCCTTCTCGGTAGTGGCGCCCACCCTGTGGAACGCCCTTCCAGCAGATGTCAAAGTGATAAATAACTACCTGACATTCAAGAGACATCTTAAGGCAGCCCTGTTCAGGGAAGTTTTTAACATGTGATATTTTATTGTATTTTTGGTTTTATGGAAGCCGCCCAGAGTGGCTGGGGAGGCCCAGCCAGATGGGCGGGGTATAAATAATAAATTATTATTATTATTATTATTATTATTAAGCCATTCTGAAAATTATAGCTCTGTGAGAGGAATAGGGGTTGCCTAAAAACACTCAGCAACCTTAAGAAACTAGACTTCCCAGGATTCTGGCATGCCTTTTTGATTTGTTTTGTTTTGCCCAAAGTTGCTGAGTTGTTTTTGTGTGTGTGTGTTTTGAAAAATCTCAACAAGAATGGAAAAGGAGTTTTTGAGCTACTTTAAATGAAAATCGCCTAAATCTACTACCAACATGGGTTGCCATAGGTATAGGTCCGGATTTTCAAAGACATTTCAGCGATTTTCGCCCGGATGCTGCTTAAGGGGCCTGAATGCCAACTATGTCAGGACATATGATATGACAACCCTAGTTTTACAACCATGATAAATGGGGGCATTTTTTTATTTGTTATTTTTTAAAATCTGCATAGTGATTGGGAAAATGTGTTGCGGGGGGGGGGAAGGTTGATCAAATCAAGAGGCATATCAAAAGGCCTTCGCTGACACATAAATAAATAGGTAGACACTATTTAGATACAAAAAATAAGTCTCATTCATCAATGAATGTGTTCTTCACTGGCAAGTACACCTTCTTTCCAATTAGACATCCCCTTTATAAATAAATAATTATCTCACTCCATTGCGGAATTGCAGATGGGAGCATGGTGCTAAATTATGAATATCATTATAATCAATTAACATTTCAATAATTTAGTTAATTATGCTCAATCAGTTAATTATTTGTTGTTGTTTAGTCGTGTCCGACTCTTCATGACCCCATGGACCCGAGCACGCCAGACAATTTATTATACTTATTTTAAAGACAAGTGTTACTATCCAGAAAGAGGACAGAATCAGCTTGAAAATGCCTCTGGGAAGTCCACAAAGCAAGGCATCATCTCAGCATTATGTGTTCAGATTCCTGCATTGCAGAGGGTTGGACTGGATGACTCTCACGGTCCCTTTCCAACTCTACAGTTCTGTGATTCTATGACTCAGAGGTCTACTGTCCCAGCACGTGGAATATCGATTGCTAACAGCACTCTTAAATGTCTTGCACAGTTTTCACAGCTATTGCAATTTCAATATAAACACCTTGCTGCAGGGTCAGTGTTCTTGCAAATGGAAAAATACAAGCACAGCGCCGGGTTAACACTGGTGGTGGCCACCAGCTTAAATAGATTTAATAATATATTGTCACTTATTAAATGTTCCCTTCTTCTGAACTGATGAACAGTTAAGACATTTTAACAGAAGCTCCCTTTTTACTCATACAGTCTGGGTTTAAAATAGTGTTGACGAAGTTTTCCTCAAATTGCTGGGAATTCAAATGTTCTCAATTTGCTAGGCTGATGATGAGATCTTCTCTGCTGGTGTGTTTGAATGAGCCGAGCTGTCAATTGTCATTATTCCTCATTAGCTTCCAGTGGAGAATAACTGAACATTTTAACATACATTTTTTTTAAGGCTGCAGTCTTACTAGCGAACAATCCCCACTGAACTCACTTGGAGGCGTTTCCAAGAAGACAAGCATAGGATTGGACTGCACATTTATATTACTAGCCTTAGGCATGGGGCAGGCTTGATATTTCGGTCTCTTTCAAATACTTATAGGAAGTACGGCTCTCCGTGTTTTGGGGATCTACCAGGAGGAGGAAAAAGGACCAGGAGGAAAAGAACCATGGTTTAGAGTTGACTATTCAGTGGTGAATAGTGGTTGTGTAGTGCTGCTTCACAGCTGATTTTTGTCAAGCTGTTGTAATAAAGTAAAGGTCAAGGGACCCCTGACCATTAGGTCCAGTCGTGGCTGACTCTGGGGTTGCGGCGCTCATCTCGCTTTATTGGCCGAGGGAGCCGGCGTACAGCTTCCGGGTCATGTGGCTAGCATGACTAAGCCACTTCTGGCGAACCAGAGCAGCTCATGGAAATGCCGTTTACCTTCCCGCCGGAGCGGTACCTATTTATCTACTTGCACTTTGACGTGCTTTCGAACTGCTAGGTTGGCATGAGCAGGGACCGAGCAATGGGAGCTCACCCCGTCATTGGGATTTGAACCGCCGATCTTCTGATTGGCAAGTCCTAGGCTCTGTGCTTTAACCCACAGCGCCACCCGCGTCCCTTTGTTGTAATACTTAGACACATTTTTTAAAATGGATCCTATTCCTCAAGGCCATTTAAAAAAGGTGGTAAAAGCACAATAAGCCCCCCACACACACACACATTTTCCTTTAAGAACATAGGAAGAATAGACCAAAGATGAATCTAATCAAGAACCCTCTTTCAGATGCTTCTCGTAAGCATCATTGATATCTCTTGGAAGCTAAGGCTTAAAATAACATCATGTCTATATGGCTACAAAAAATAGCAGCAGGGGTACACTGGATGTGAAATGGAGAAGCTGAGATATACAGATATTTTAAGGGAGGGGGCCTTGGCTCCTTCTTGCAGAAAGTCCCAGGCTCATTTCCTGGCTTCTCCAGATTGAAGGATCTATGAAAGGTCCTGCTTCAAGACCTGGGAGCTGCTACTAGCCAAACGCAATGCTGAGCCAGTGGTTTGTCTCAGCATAGGGCAGCTTCATATGTAATGTTCTCCTGAATTCAGAGTTTATGCTTCGTTATAAAACACAAAATAAATCAGTGTAGTGGTGTGCATTGTAAATTAGCGCAAGGATTAAAATTAATGAAAAATTATTTGGAGTGCTAATCTGTGAGTGTGTTATTATCTTAAGCTAGTCTAATGTGTGTGTGTTTGTGTTTTATATATGCATGACCCAGCGTCATCAATATTCACTCTTTAGAAAGGAAATGAACCATTCTCTAATTTAAAGTCATCAGCTCCAGGCCCTAAATTGGTATCCTGTACCTTTAAGAGTCAAGGCCTTTTTCTTTATTACAACACCCTAATGGGAACAGACACACCTGGAAAAATCTTGCCATCTCAGGGTCTGGACCTGCCGGACGTTAATTTCAGTCATCTGTCATATGAATATTTTCATATGAATACATCTCTACGCATTCTCAAACCCTCCTTGTTTAATTTTCCTTTGAATTCCTGTACAAAATGAGAGCAGTTGAGCTGTATCTGAGACATACAATGCAATTTGTGCACTTTTCTTAAAAAAGAAAGAAAAATAACTATCTAAATTGGTGGAGTTAGGATTATACTAAAAAAGAAAAAGAAAAAAAGGTCAGATACTGAGTGCAAATAGAGAGTATCATCCTAGCAGAGGCTTTTCAGTGCTTCTTAAGAAACATCAGGCAATCTGCTCAAAATCTTTACAGAGAAGGTTAACTGTCATAGAAGTTAGCATTCCCACACTGAGAAATCCGAAGAAAGGCAGCTTTTCTAACAAGAGTTGCAGTTTGCAAAGATCCAGTCCCTGTACTTTCAAGGATCATGGAGAAGGAGGAAATTTCATCAGGTGCGAGGGTATCGGCCACCATGACAGAGTTTTGATGGTTCCTAAGAACTTTTAAAAATAGACAGGTTCCCCCAGGCTCTGGGAACCGCTAGACTTAATTTTGTGCTTTATCCCAGGTGGAAATTCCCCATTTCTATTTTACTTTTACTGGCTTTTCTCCTGTGCAGTTTCAGCAGATGAAACTGGTCTCCATGCCAGGAAAAGCTTCACCTGCCACAGAGCTTTAAAAACGCGCTGGAAAAAAGGTCTGTAAAGAGGGAAGCAGCAACCTTCTTGCCTGAGAAGTGGGGGGATGGGACACTGAGTTTTTGCAGTGCTGTAGCAATGCATCTTAACCACCTGCTCATGTTTAATGTTCATATTTTACACTTAGCACGAGGAAAGTTCGCTGCTGAACATTTGCTCTGCAGTTCTGCCTTAAAGCTGCAGGTGTGCCAGAAAGTTCTGTCCAAATTGGGAGGCTTATATGCAGATTTGCTTTTCAATTAAAAAGCATCTTCTCACTGCCTTCCTCAAGACCTTGCTTGTCCTCAATCATGTCCCTTAAACATTGACCAGGGTTTCATTCATACATTAACGCCCGAGTTTAAAGCAACTTTTAAAAAGTTACTTTCCTTCATTGGCGGGGCGCTTAATGGCACACCAGAGTCATGAGCGCAGATAGAGATGACATTAATTATTTGCCTCACGTTTTCCTTGCTGGGTCAGAATCCCCTAAAACCATTTCAGATGGAGTCTGGGAGAGAATCTAGGAGCCTGGGACAGAGCAGCTGGCCTGGACATGGGCCGATGCCCCAGTTGACAGGTTGTTGGATTAGAAAGAATATCAAAGGCAGCAAGCGAGATTAGGGATAAGTGAACATCTGACAGCAGTTTCCAGCAGGGGAGAACAGATGATAAACAATGGGAATAGGGTACTTGCTGGGGGAGAGGAGAGGTGAGAAGGCCATGGGAAAAGTGTGGCGGCAATCTCTAAAGCTCCAGGTTGCTGCACCTCATGAATAGAACAGGAAATAGGATTTGCAGGGACAGATGTGATGAGTGGTGATGAATACATTACAGGCAAAAGAAGGACCAAACTCCGCAAGGTGAGTGATGTCCTTTCCTTGAATCTGCTCGGCGTAATTATGGGAAAGTTTCTGCCTTTCAGAAGGTAGAAAGAAATGACACCAATGCTTGCTTGCTTGCTTGCTTAATTACATTATTATCAGTGAAATCCTTATACTGCTAAGAGTGTTTTTATCAGGAAGCAATAACCAAAGATGGGTAGGGAAGATTGGTGGGTTTTCATCAGTTGTAGGCTGTGCTTGTTTGCAGGTTTACGCATTAAACTGAAACAACAGCAGTGTGCAGTCTGAAATAACACAAAACAAGAAAACAGCAGATAACATCTTAAAACAGCTTAAAACTTGCTCAATTAATCTATTTGAGATTTCCACCTCCTGGTTTTAGTGATGCCCAGGAGGCAGATTTTTCCTTTTCTCTTTGCTGTCATGGTGTTGTTGCCAAAGGAGCAGTTTCATTTGGTGTATGTTCCCTTCTAAGCAATGCTTAAAGGCATGAAAACCCTCTTGGAGGGCTGCGAACCTTATAGTGGCTTCTGTGCATGCTCAAATAAACATAACACAGTGATGTGATATTCATCTGCTGCTTCTGATTCATCTTGATTTGGAAAATCAACACAAAAGAGTTTTCTGCTCATTAGTTAATAGCAGGCATAGGCAAACTCGGCCCTCCAGATGTTTTGGGACTACAACTCCCATCATCCCTGACCATTGGTCCTGTTAGCTAGGTATGATGGGAGTTGTAGTCCGAGAACATCTGGAGGGCTGAGTTTGCCTATTCCTGGTTTATAGCTTTTCTTTCAGTTTCTTACACATGTCTAAAGCACTTAACAAGAACATCATACACTATGGGGTGTATGGATGGAGAGGCAGAGATACATAAATGCCTTATCTTCCAAGATATCAGAGTGGGCTAGATCTTCAGCCCATATCCCAGGTCTTGATGCATCAGCTTTGTGAAACGAATTTTAGGTCCGCATGGCTGGCAGGCTAGAGACAGTATGTGTTCTGCCTCGAGTTCCATGGCAGAAAGGACGGAGTGTAAATGAATTAAAAACCAAACCAACACCAGAAGAGCCTGCTGAATCAGAATAGTGGTCTATGTAGTCCATTACAGTGGCGGACGAGATTTCTGCAGGAAGCCTGCAAGCCGGACATGAGCGGTGTGAGAAACTCCAATATATAAGCTTAAACCTAGGTTACGGTCACCACAATGGAATGTCTATTTGCCAGTGGGTTAGACTGAATGATTCTATGACTCTGTGATCTCACCTATATTGTTTGACTGTAGCTTGCTCTTAGAAAGCATTCACTTGTCCCAGTACGCAAGAAGGGGAAACCCACACAGTGGAAACGGAAATGGACTAAGGCAGAGGTTTTAAAACCGTGGTTGCCAGCCTGGAGCCCAGAAATCTCCACATGGGTACCATTGGCCATGTGCCAGTAGCAAAACGCACCTGGCGCCTGGGGAATTTCAAGCACTGGACGTGCGTGCAACACCCTTGACTGCCAGCAACTGCCAGAGGCACAATCAACTTAATGCTTGGGAACTCTCTTCCCCCAGAGCTGTTCCGGGATTCTGCGGAACTGGGAATGGTTGTCTTATGAAAACAAAAGTCAAGTCCGCTTGCTTGCACCCTTCTTAGACTCTATAGCACAGTGCCCTTTGCGTGCTAACAAAGATGAGGTGAAACCACTCTCTTGGAATATTGTTACTATTTTATTACAGTGGTACCTCAGGTTAAAGGGACGCGGGTGGCGCTGTGGGTTAAACCACAGAGCCTAGGACTTGCCGATCAGAAGGTCAGCGGTTCGAATCCCCGCGACGGGGTGAGCTCCCGTTGCTTGTTCCCAGCTCCTGCCAACCTAGCAGTTAGAAAGCACGTCAAAGTGCAAGTAGATAAATAGGTACCGCTCTGGTGGGAAGGTAAACGGCATTTCCGTGCGCTGCTCTGGTTCACCAGAAGCGGCTTAGTCATGCTGGCCACATGTACGCCGGCTCCCTTGGCCAGTAAAGCGAGATGAGCGCCGCAACCCCAGAGTCGGCCACGACTGGACCTAATGATCAGGGGTCCCTTTACCTTACCTCGTTTTAAGAACTTAATTTGTTCTGGAGGTCCGTTCTTAACCTGAAACTGTTCTTAACCTGAAGCACCACTTTAGCTAATGGGTGCTGCTGCCGCACCATTGCTGCACAATTTCTGTTCTCATCCTGAAGCAAAGTTCTTAACCCGAGGTACTATTTCTGGGTTAGAGGAGTCTGTAACCTGAAGCGCCTGTAACCCGAGGTACCACTGTATTTGTTAAACTTATCTAAAAAGGCCTCCAAGCAACACCAAAAGTAAACAAGCACTGGAAGGGTGCTTCTATGCTCTCTCTATTATGAATTGGTTTCTATTTCTAAGTCTTATTTATAGCGACATCAGAGAAACTAGCCCACCAAGGCTGGGTTCTCAGATGGGACTTTGCGGCTATCTGGTGTTTTTTTAAAGCTTATTTAGCGACATAGTCACACGGATGATGAACGCTGTCCAAATATGATAGCATCTGGTGCTGCTTTTGATTATACAAGTTTTTGACCCATTGTTTATGTCTTAGAACACTGTAGCGTTGCCTCTTTTGAACAAGTTTCTTTTAATATTTTTATCCCTTTTGTCTCCTCAACCTATACCTGTCCATACTCGATTGTTGGTTTTCTTTTCTTTTCTTTTCTTGAATTGCTGGACTACTCTGTTTGTCCTGTTGGCTATACCATTAATATTTTTTATTTTTTTAAAAAAGGAAATAAACAAGCACACATCACAAATAGCTTCTGGCCCAGCTACTGCTTTCAACCTTTTAGTGTCTGGGACCGGCACATCTTTGAGGCTTCCTCTTCCCATATGGCCCCTCCTCTCAAATCAAGAATGCCCTCAAGTTTTCTGCTTTGTTTGCCATCATTGCGGGAGGTAGAGACAAGCAGCGCAAGAAGCAAGGCATTCTCAGTCACTGCCCCAGGGTTGTGGGATAGTCTGCCAGAAGATGTCTGCTGGAGCATGCTCTTGCTAGCCTTCAGGAGGGGCTGCAAAACCCAGCTTTCAAGGAAGGCTTTCAGATGCAGTTGTTGAATAATGTTTCTATTGATGGCTTCTAATCTGCCTGGTGTCTTGCCCTGTTTTGTGGACTTTGTTTATTTGTTGTGAGCAGCTTCGAGCCTAGGTGGGGCGGGGTGGAAAACCCCTAAGTCTGAATGCGCTTACCAACTCCAGGTGGAAGACAAGCCCCTTTACCTCTGTTGCAAAGTGAGTCTGTCTGATTCAGGTGCATACTTGCCTTCCAATGAGCTGGGCTATCTGTGGCAAGTAGCACAGGGAAAGTATTGATGTGAGTTTGTGGGTACCAGACCCCTCTAGCCTCTGGATCAGGCAACTGTTGGAATTTAATCAAGCCAAGCTATCTTCCCATGGTGAGCCATTAAGGGAGATTAAGGTAAAGGTACCCCTGCCCATACGGGCCAGTCTTGCCAGAGTCTAGGGTTGTGCGCCCATCTCACTCTATAGGCCAGGAGCCAGCGCTGTCCGAAGACACTTCCGGGTCACGTGGCCAGCGTGACAAGCTGCATCTGGCGAGCCAGCACAGCACACGGAATGCCGTTTACCTTCCCGCTGGTAAGCGGTCCCTATTTATCTACTTGCACCCGGAGGTGCTTTCGAACTGCTAGGTTGGCAGGCACTGGGACCGAACGACGGGAGCGCACCCTGCCGCGGGGATTCGAACCGCCGACCTGACGATCGGCAAGTCCTAGGCGCTGAGGCTTTAACCCACAGCGCCACCCGCATCCCCTTAAGGGATTATATTAGAATTATATAATTGTAGAGTTTGCAGGGACCCAAAGGGTTTTCTAATCCAACTCCCTGCAATTCAGGAATCTGAGCTAAAGCATACATGGCCATCCAACCTCTGCTTTAAAACCTCTAAGGAAGAAGATTCTGCAACAGACTTCCTCAAACTCGGCCCTCCAGATGTTTTTGGCCTACAACTCCCATGATCCCTAGCTAGTAGGACCAGTGGTCAGGGATGATGGGAATTGTAGTCTCAAAACATCTGGAGGGCCGAGTTTGAGGAACCTCTGCTCTACAACCTCCTAAGGGAGACCGTTCCACTGTTGAACAGCTCTTTCCGTCAGAAAGTTCTTCCTGATGTTTAGTCAGAATATCTTTCTTGTAACTTGAAGCCAACAAACTGAAACTCATTCCAGATAAGACTGGGGGAGACTTTGCTTTTTGAAAAAGCTTATATTTCCTCCCCTATGCCACCAGCTGCCTCCTTCTTTCTTCTTCTTTTCACCCTGAGTTCTTCTAAGTCCATGGCACCTTTAGTTAAGGCTGTTCTCCAATTGGAGCGCTCGCAGGCCAGTGTTTCCCAGTTGTCAGTGTTTATACTATATTTTTTAAGTTTTGCCTTGAGAACATCTTTAAACCTCTTTTGTTGTCTGCCAGTATTTTGCTTTCCATTTTAGAGTTTGGAATAGAGTAGTTGCTTTGGAAGACGATAATCAGGTATCCAAACAACATGACCAGTCCAACGAAGTTGATGTTGAAGAATCATTGCTTTCCCCCCTATGTAACCAGCTGCCACCTGAATGCAGGCACACCCCTCCTCCCTTGGCCGCCTTTCCCAACTGTAGCTGCCTCCACGTTAAGGTGTTGAGCCCCCCAAAGGGCAGGGCTGAGAGTGGTCACTCAGATGCCCCATTGTGTGGGACAACCCTGGACGACTGACTAAACAATCCATGGCCTTTTAAACTGGGAGGTGGTGTTCTTGTTTGTTACTATGTCATGCATTTTTGTGTTTTTATATTGTAAACTGCCCTGTGATCCTCAAATGAAGGGCAGTGTAGAGATGGAGATGATGATGATGATGATGATGATGATGCTAGGCTCAGTGCGAGATGGCCAATGGGTGGCGTCCTGTCCCTCAACAGGTAAAGCCAGAGTTTGGAGAAGAGAATTTTTGAAGCAGTGATGTTGCTGAGAAGCATAAAC